GAGAGGGTAATTTATCGAGAATCTCTTTTAATGCCTTTGGATTCATCAAGAGCGACTATTTTGGTTCACGGGAACGATCGTTCCCTCTCCCTCTTTCTCTTTCGAAACTCGTGTAATTAATGCCAAAATCCGATTGTAGTATTCAGCGCACGCTGTTTACGGGCCAATGTACACGGGTGTACATGCCCACATCGCAAGTGTAATGAATCAACTTATACCGCAGGGCGGGGAGGTGTGCGCACTGCATCGCGTGCTGAGCACTCTATGCGGCCTCGGTTGAAAATCGAGAAATTTTCGGCAAGGGACACACTCTCCCAATTGGTTATCATTTATTTATAAACTCGGGGTCCGTGTTTGGAATATGATCACTAGCGTTTGCGAGAGTTACGGACGAGGCCTGTGCTACAGGCTGCACGCGAGAAAAATGAAGTGGAAAATACGAAAATCGATTGCGAAACCCAAGCTGCGTGCAATTGATTTACGTTTAATTACAATGAGTTTCATGAAAGATTTTCATATCTTTATATTCGTAAATGTCGTAGAACGTGAAAATTTACGTTGAAAAATTTTTCCACTCTCGTGTCTCTCCACCAGCGTACTGTACCATGCATCGGAGTCCCGCGGGGCTCGCAGACCATATTAAGAAAACGAAGCCATTTTCGAGAAAGGTCGTAAAATCACGTCGGTGTCGTTGACGTACGAGCAAATGCACGTACATACATATGGATGTAAAAATCCGTGAAAATTTCGACAGGGTCGATTGAGTCGAGCGCGCGCTGCACACCTCGCGCGTCGCGCAAGGTAAATCGCCCGCACACACGTTATATAGGTACACGTGCACGTGAACCCTCGCCCCCCTCCATCCTCACTCCCTTTCCCCGCCGAAATGGCCGTGTATATTGCAGCACGGATGGCAGGACACGAAGTTCGCGCCCAATAAAGCCTCGAGCCGGGCTTCGCTCTGCTAAATTCGCATACAGCAGCAGCTGTATCTATGCGCGAGCTCGCGCTTGTTTTGCGGTCACGTAGCTTCGTTTTGCTCGTTCGCTTTAACGATATTATAGTCCTCTTCCTTCCTTCCTATATAGCTGCATTTTTTTGCCTATACTACTTGTCATGCTCGTCGCGAATGTCCGATGATCCACGCTCGAGGAATAAATCGTCGCGCTTAATCGAAAAAAAAGGACGCATATGGCATGCAATTACGCCGAAAAAAATATGTGATTCCGTCGGAATGATCGCGCGCGTGTGTGTGTGTGTGTGCCTAGTATCGGAAGAAAGAAAAAAATACATACGTGGCCACATAGTGGGATATATTTTCGCTTCGATTTAACAGCCATAGAAAAGAAATTGCGATCTATGCATATCGTATCGAGGTAATACTTTTTTTTTACCTCCCGCGCCCTTTCATATCATACATAAGCTTTATACTCTCGATAGGTATTCTTGACAAATTTCATCTCGTATAATACGTCTGTGGATGTGCGATACGAAACTCTTTTCAAAGACTCGAAATCGAATTCAAGAATCTCTTTTATACTGTATTCTACGAGATCGTTCCCAAGAGAAAAGAAAAAGGAAAGAGAGAGAGGAAGTGGAAGAGGTATAGAGCGGGGGCGAGAGGGAGGGAAGAAAAAGCTGCGCTAGGTACTACGTAACAGTTTAAAGCAAAAAGATCGTCTGAAAAATCGAGACAAATAGACATATAAAAGAACGAAAAGTCCGTACATATCTCTACGTAATCACACGCACGCACACAAACCCACGCGTGAACCCAATTGTATACATAAGACTGCTACGTCAATGTAGCGTTTCGCGCAGGTTCGAATCACAACAATTTTTTCCATCTTCCATTCCAAATGGACGCGATATTTCTGCACGAGATTGGAGTTCGAAACAAAAAAAAAAAAAAAAACAAAAACAATCCATGCGGCAAGTACACGACGCGGCGCTTTTTAATGTCTCATTAATAGCTCGCGCACAACTGCAGCTCGATAAAACACGACGCGAGTGCGTATAGTAATGTATAAGCGTTCGACTCTCGCAACATGTAAGTGCAGTCGGGAGTCTATTGCATCGCGCGTCTACTGCTGCTGCTGCCGCTGCTGTGAGCGCATCGGATGAAATTTTCCGCCCACGTAACGAGATACGACTTTTGAGACGCGGCGACGATGGTGCGGATACAGTAGTTTTATACGTATACACGTACACACATACGTATGTACACATCAAACCGCATGTACATACCATGTATTTCGGGGGGCGGGCTCGGCCAGGTGAGCGCTTAAAGAAACACGTATTTGCAACGGCGCACGTACGTAGATACAGCCATCAGCAGTAGCAGCAGCAGCAGTTGCACCGCTCACCCGCACCCACACATCAGAGACTCCGCGCAGAGCTATACCAAATGGGTATACGAGGGAAGCGCGAACGTGGCTCGAAGTTTAAAATTGTTCATTTCCTCTTTGGGGGGGCCCTCTCTCCCCAGCTCTTACTCTCTCGCTCTCTGTGCTTTACGCGAGTTTTCCTTCTAACTTTTGCTCGCGCGCGCGCGCGGAGTAAAAAGGTTAATACATTTTTTTGAGTGTGCTAGATTCGTGCATGCAGCATGCGTATACACACACACACACACACACACACACACACACGCGCGTATATATTTTTATAATATAAAGCCAAACCACAACTCCCGTGGAATGCGAGTATTTGGCCCTTATATTCTCCAGATGTTTTAGCACGTATATATTGTATATATACTTACGCGCGAGTGCATGCGTGCCACTATTATGCGCGTTTCAGCCAAGCATACACAGACGTTATGCAAAAGGAATTGATTAATTTAGATCGAGTAAACAAGCAGCAGCGCGTATACGCGTGGCTTTGTTGGTACAACGAGGAGAATTTAATAATATATGAGTTATACAACTCGACGTTAATTTAAATTCCAAATACACATCTAAACATACGGTTCGTTGAGCAATCTTTTATCTCGTTTCATTAATTAACGAAGATGAAATAGTTTCATCTCCGTTGCGACGCTCCATTTTAACTTCGCGATAGTCCTGTCTCTCCGATGTTTCCGTTACTTTTTATATCGGCGTGGTTTTTAACCAAAAAAAAACAGGCTCTTACGCGCGTTATTGTCCCGCGCGACTCCTCGTTCATCTTCGAGTATATGCGCAGCTTATCAAAAGCGAGGAGAAGAACGAAAAACTTTAAGCCGTACCGCATCACGTCCCAGAACGAACGGAGGATTTCTATTTTAAGCGGCCAATGAGCAATTAAGCTTTTTTTGTTCGCGCACTCTGCTCTGCAAAATTGAGGTAAAACTCTACGCTAGCTTCGTACTACACACCGAACATCTCTCTGCAGCGCTGCAGCAGCGCAGCGGCAAGAACACATTATGGAGTTGTAAGTATTCGTCTCTTTTTTTTTAGGAGGAGCGCGCAAGAAAGTTAATTTAGAATAAGGATTACGTAATACGCGAAAGTACAAGCGCTCGAGTTAAATACAGCGCGTGAGCAGCGAGCTTTCAAGAGTGGATGAATTTTCGACTCGGCTGCGCTGTTATGGAGCTCGAGCAAGTTTCAAGATTTTGCTTCATACCCCCGATTTAATGTCGAGCTCGCCGCCGCCGCCGCCACCGCCGGACTCGCCGCACGAGTTATGGTCGATAAGTGGAAAACATTATATAACATCGGACCCTCTCAAAAGCTCGGACGTTATACCGCGCGCCGTATATAAAGATGATGAATTCGATAAGGCAAAGGGCCGGGTGAACTGTGTGTGTGTGTGTGTGTGTGCTGCGTTGATCGTTCGGCGTAATAAATGAAACATTATATATTATATATGAGAAATGAAAAGTCGTCGTCGTCGGGGCTAGCCAGAGCTACGGCATCAGCAGCAGCAGCAGCAGCAGCAGCTACCGCGCCGCCGCTAACCAACTTTATTATTTCCTCCTATAGTACTGCAGAGTAGAGAGTACTTACCACGCGCGCCAGGAGAATAAATGCAATAAAAAAAGTTTTCCCCGCGCGCGCGCGAGATCAAAAGGCCAAAGCGCGCGGGCACGCGGGACGGGTAATCATAATTTTTTCTCGCGTGGCCGAGTTCAGCTCTCTCTTTCTCTTATCCGCGAGAGCGCGCGATACTTTCAGCATCGCCTCTACCACTGCCGCTGCTACTATACTAGCTCTCAACGAAATCCATTTTTCTTTAAAGTTAAGTTTTATATAACTGAAACCTCCTTCGCCCTCCTTTTGGATGTAAGTTCTCGCACTCTCAACAGCAGCAGCGCGTCTAGTTTTAAAGGGATGAAGAATTTTTGGTCGAAGGAAAAGCGAGCAACCCTCGTAATGAAGCGCGCTCCTCGCGCGCGAGCAGGAAAAATGATGTAGCGCCTGGTTCGTGTGTTATAAAAATGCAAGCCACTTATACGCGCGCGGGTCAAAGGAAAAAAATGTACTCTCTTCTCTCTGTCGCTGGCAGCTAATTCGTTTGTCATTAAGTTTCGCGTGCACGGCGTTGCAAGCGGTCGCGCGTATACACGCAACACACATACCCGCGCGTACGCGCAAGTTTTTAAATGATAAATGCGTAATAAGTTCCGAAAGGAATCTGCAATGGATCTTGAAATCCCGCGAGAGGAGAGAAGACTTTTTTTCGCACCGAGCAGCGCGAAAGAAAACTCGTGAGCTTCGCGCGTCCGATCTCAGCAGCAGCAGCGATACTCTCATACCTTTACGCTTTGGGCGAATTTTTCAAAGCGCGCGCAAGATGTCTCGAGACGGGCAAAATTAATCACGGGTTACACGACTATACTACTGCGACGACGACGACGACTGCCGCCTGCCGCCCCTCGTATTATACCATTGAGAAAAGAAAGAAAGATTAATGATGGTCTCCTGAGTACGTGATTGTGCATTTGTTCCATCGCACGCGCGCAAGTTCACGGAGGGCCGTATTAACCTTTTTCATACAATATATAACTCGGCGCGTACCTCTTCTTCCGGTATAAACGCTTTTTTCCATCTGTGCGTGTAGACAAGTAACTCACGATTGCGAGCAGCAAAGGATACGGTTGAAAAACTCACCTGAAACAGAAATATTAAATACGTATTATTTAATAACAGTTTCGTGCGGTAAACAATACTTCTAAGAAGATATCTTATTACGTAAATTTAACGTAAATAAACTAGCAGAGAAAAGTTTTCTCTCGCACGGAACTATTTTATATTTAATACTCTTAGTTTCATAAATGTAACGGTAGCGTTCAAATTTTTACTCGAGTTTCAGCGAGAGATTTCAACGTTTTAATGAATGAGAGATCTCTCTCTCTCTCTGGCGGAAAAAAAGAACAAATACGCAATTAAAAGCGACACTGAACTCTAGGCGCTTGATAGCTGCTGCGGGTCGAGAGAAAATAAAAATATCGACGGTTTATGCAATGTGTATTTCGTTAAATAAATAGGTAGAGCGCAAAGTGCACATTTTGCCGGGCATGCGAGCAACGAATTATTTTAACTCGAAGTTAAAATTAGACTTTAAATAAAATGAAAAAATTTTTTATTTCATCGTTTGAGCTGCACTTATTGTTTTTGTAATGGGTAGCACTATACATTTGACAATTTTTCAATTCATCACGAGCTTTAATTTATTAATATAATTCTTTACGCTCGAGAAATTTTTCATCAGATAACAATTTACACAATTGAAAAGTACAAAGCGAATTGGCTTGACACTTCAAAGACATATTTAGTTTACTATTGCGAGCACGAAATGCATTTTTTTCAAAATCCCATTCGATGACGAGCCAAAGTGATAAATTAAAAAAAAAGAGAGAAAAGAAAAAAGAGAAAAGAGAAAAGTGAATGCGAATACTTCCTCACTGCTTCGCGTTGTAAAGAAGAGTAAGTTTGCTTTACTTGAAAATGTCAACTAGTTAAAAGTACTTGAAAAGTAAAGTACGGTACAAGCAAGCGTACATTAATGAAAAATAAAAAAGAAGAAATATCTTATCTTACACTTAAAAATGGGGAAGGAAAAAAAGTAAAAGCATATACTTTCATCTCGATCGGTAAACATTTTAATGGTCGCATGCCCCGTCGACTCTGTATTGGTATACGATGCATTATTTACTATGGAAAAAAAAGATACAAAAGCGAACGAGACTTGGAGCTTTGTTCGCAAGCTCGGACACCTCATCATCGAGTCTTGTACATATAACTCACCACAGACACTCGAAATATCTATAAGCGTCAAGTATAAGAGGAAGAAAAAGAGGCACGTATATTTCCGTTTGTTACAAATAATATAGGAATTCACGAGGGGCCAGGGAACTTATTACAAAGCGTCGCTAAACTTTCCTATCAGGGGCCGTGCAAGCTGCGATAATGGCTCGTTTTCATAATCGTTCTCTTTTTATTTTTCCTCGCCTCGCCTCGCCTGGCCTCACCTCCCTTTCAGCTGCATATAGTATCTATATATATATACACGCGTGCGTGCCGTTCATCAATGTATATACACACACATTGTGTACATCGGGGTCATACAGTGTGCGGCTAAGGCAGCAGCAGCAGCAGCGGCAAATAGGTGGTGCAGGGGCATGTGCATAGCCTCAAGGAGGTTGGTATACCCGAACGCGGCTTTTCGACAACTATGTCGGCAACTTTTGTGTGTGATACACTCGCATTGTATTTTATCGTGTATGCGCGCGGCGCGTTTGCAACAAAAGCTCGAGCTCCGTGTGTGGGTGCAAGTGTGGCTTGGCTCGTAATACGTGTGAATGCGTTCGCGCGTCAAGGGTTTTCCAAGCCTTACGAGGCCTTTTTCAACGTGTATACGTATCATACAGGGTAAAATTGCTCGCTCGACAAAAGTACGAGGCGCGTACGGGCCAAGAGCTTCCTCGAATAACACGTAGATAATGCACGCTCGTCGATGGCGTTTATAACAAAATTGGATTGAAAAAATGCATAATATTAACGTAGTTTCGCTGTATACACAATTCAAAAGACAGAAAATCGATAGTCGATCGCGCGGCGCGTCAATCCTAGTTCTCTCTCTCTCTTTTCACGAATACACAATACTTATTATTGTACACACGGGCGAGGATTTGAATCGCGTAACTATCGGCGCGAGCCACACCCCGCGTGCGCCGAGACGGACGTAAATGCATAATAGCCCTATATATAGTGTACGTGTAATGTACGACGCGGAGCGTATCTTCCTCGAAGCACATCATGCGTACGCATTATAACACGTTACACGCAAATGCGACTGTATATGCACGAGGCGCGCAGGTAATTCTCACACACATATATGGGTACGTTGAGGCGTGTTGTGTAGAGGTCTTGAAAGGTAATATTTGTCTTGGCCGTCGCTCTCCCTGCCACCGCTGCCGCCGCCACCGACAAAGATCCAGGTCAGGAGTGGCCCTTGCGCGCGCGCGCGCGCCCGTGCTGCGAAGCACGTTTATATATAATGTGCATATGTGTGTACGTACGTACGTGCACGTACATGCGCCTAGCGTAATACGTATATATTTGTGTACGCGAGCGAATGATTATGTTCTGGACTTTGCACCCGTGGCAATCCTTCCATTTATCCATCTATGTATCCAACTACTACGCTTGCACACACGTATATATAAACGTTAGGATGTAAGCGCGTGTGCCGATGGTTAAGCCGAGGCTACTGTACTCGGGCAAAGCTTTCCGATCTACGTTGAAACCTGATTTGCGAGGTTCACAGCTGCTGCTGCTGCTGGACTGGGAAAACTGACCATAATCGCTATTAGATAAGATCGTCTTGATATAGCTATACCATCGATTCGATTACCGGATCTTGCCTCTCCTCGACTCTTCGTATATAGCGCACGCGGACTCGATTACTTTAGCGAGAGAAAGATGTCGAACAGTTTTCTTGCTTCTTTTTGTCTTCTTCTCTTCCTCGCTATCTCTCTTGCCCTATCGGATTGGCGAATAATTACTGTGTTATTTACCTAGTGCGAATATCCTTTTGACGTGAAACCGTCCGTGGTATTTTAGGACTGGAAATAAAAAAAAAAGTTGAAAAAAATATAAGGGATGGAGAAACGAGCGATAACAAAGTTAAACTTTTGAAAAAGTATAAGAAAAGAAAATGCATCGCGGAAGAAAAACATGAAGCAAAAGAGAGAGAGAGAGAGAGAGAGATAGAAAGACCAGACTCTCACGCGTTGAAGAATCTCAACGACGTCTAATTAAATTCTTTGCACAGTTGAATCGCCGAAGAGACGACGACAGTGGCGACGAGTTTAAGAACATGCGTAGCCCAAGTTTTGCGCGCAGAAACTTTTATGCTTCCGACAGCAGTAGCAGAAGCAGTAGCAGTAGCAGCAGCGCACCTGAACGTTTTCGCGTGTATATTATTATTAAACTTTCGCGACTATTCGCTTAGACGAGAGAGAGAGAGAAGAAACTGTCTGCAGTTTGCAAAAGGTGCAGAACAAATTTTTCCTCTCCTACTGGATGAAGTAATGAATACAAGCTTGGGGGAAAAAAAGCCCTGTAATAATGACCGATCTTTTCTCTCTCGAATTTCCATGTATAAAGAACGTCGCGTACACATCCGTTGGATATGTACGTGCTTTTTTCGTTACATATACAGAGCTTTTGCCAGGGCACGTCGAGCTTTCTTTTCTATTATTTAATCTCGATCCATAAAAGTCGAGTAAAAAGCAGAGAGAGAGAAGCGCGCGCTGGACTCGATTCCATCGAAAAATCAAATCGATAAAAAAAATAAACAAAAATTGTTGCAGCACATGTGTGTGTGTAGCATGCGCAGGGCGTGATTCTTATACAAGGCAGCAGTAGCAGCGGCAACCCGACAGAAGTCATAAAACAAACGTAGAAAAAAAATCGCCGTATTGCACTACGATACATTGTACACGTATTACAGGTGGGCTCGAATATCGAAATCTCGTATTATATATACAGAGGCGCGCACACGTGCGCTTATACATATATACAGGTGTATATACATCTTCGCGGAATCAAAAACAAAAGAGCGCGTTGAGAGCAGAGTAAAAGAGTGTCGTAAAAAAGGGTAAATATAAAAATGCTTCATTTTTATGCGCTTTATGGATCGTTCGATGGATATATATACGAATGAAATATAAAAGTGCGCAGCAGCAGCGGGAAGTTTATACATGCCGGAGTTCACTTTTCCGTGATAGCGACGTCTCGAATGCACTCGAAAAGTAATTAACCGAATCGATCGCTTCAAAAACCATTTGCAATTTTTTTTTTTTTCTTGTCGAATCGCCATTGAAAGAGATTTTCTCTGCAGCATTTGCTTGGCCTTTGAATTGCGAATAATAAGGGCAATGATTTTCAGCGTAATCGCGAGAGCTTGTTTTAGTGAGAGAGAGAGAGAGAGAGAGGCACAGAGAGGGAAAGAGAAAGAGAAAGACGTTGAACGACATCAATCTGTACGTATATATACATACTCAGTGTGCAGCATATAGAACTAGTGTAAAGTGTAAAGAGAGAAAGATAGAGAGAGAGAACCTGCTCGTGGCGCGGTGCAAGCTCAAAGCGTGTAAAAGCCGATTCCAAGCACTCATTGTGCCAGCTATACTGCACCGAGCTGCTGCTTCACTGCACTGTATAGCGCGGTAATGCACGTGCATACATACACACACACACACGTGTACACGGATCTCTATGTCTCTCAGGCCTCTTTATAAATGTACATACATCTCCCTCTCTCTCTCTCTCGTCGTCTCTGGCGTCGTCTCGCCCCGAGACCAAGTTCAAACCTTCAAATGGTGCTTATATATCGAGTGTTAATGCAGCTCAGCTCGTTAAAGTCGGTCTCCTTAAGAAGCTCAGCATAATTTTCGCATTGACGTGTTTCTCCGGGATAAAGTTTGCACTCTCTCTCTCTCCTGCGAAAGAGATCATTCATATTGTATACGCGTTACACGCGTTAAAGATTAAATGGATATAAGAAACGAGAGAGAGAGATTAAATGACTACGCAACGAGGTGCTTTTAAAAAATCCGATTTATTATGTATTACAACAAAAATATTCGAGAGCCAAAGAGAAA